TGAGGGCAGTTATTGGACGTTGCATCACAATGCCCCGTCCCCCTTACCGGATGAGCGCCAAACCCCCTAACGACCATGAAACAAGAGCTCGGAGGAATGAAGTCCATTCTGGCAAAAGGCACAAGCTAGAACTGAAAATAAAACCCACCCTCGCCTAGATCACCTTCTGTTGTGAAACCAGGAACCAAACTTATGCTGAACCAGAATACGGGTCTCTAGAAGGGAACCAAGGCATTGCCAGTCAGTCAGGCCCCCACTGATCGGAGAAAACCGGTCTTCCAGTGTCGTATGAAGCCCTTTGGTGAGCCGCTTGGGTGTGAACGACGAGGGGGGTCCGTTCGTGGTCCCACGACTCTGCGCTGGCGACGAGTCACCCTGCGGCGCGGTTGCGTTGCGGCTCTGGCAATTTCTTGCGACTGCCGTACATTGCGTCGACAAACGATGCTGCCATGATTGGTCTTTTTAAGATTTTATGACTTTTAATCCGCTCTCGAAGTTACTTTTCAAGATTCATCCGTACGTTTGGAGTTTGCCATCAAACGGCCGGCTTTTCAGCGATTAGTAGGTAGATTGCGAAATTTCCTGGGGAGTTTCGTTGTTGGTTTCTACTATTCTGTAACAATGGGAGGTTTTTCATCTTTACTGTGGCTAATGCCATTTCTTAGTGAACCACGCGAACAAATGAGTCGTAAGCAAAGATCTTTTTGTGCGACGTTACCGGGTTGTGTGGGGAAGTGTGACGATAATTACTTTGTTCGAGACCTATTGTCACTGCTGCTTGTCTGGTCGTTAAGATGTTACACTCTGTGTTGGTTAAGCCCCTTCTTTCCTACAACAATCAGTTTCTGAGTCATTTTGTACACTGCTTTCGCTGGACCTTTCTCTGATTATCGATACTTCTTCGCGATTTATTGAGTTCCTGAAATTCAAGCACAGATGAGAGACCAGTTGACGAAGAGGTCGGTAAATATCCTGACGGTGAAACCGGAACTGACATCCATTGTGCTTTTCAGTACTAAGGATAGGAACAAGGCACCTACCCATGCACACAAGTGGCTTACTTAAGATCTCCTTACTACAAGTACTGATGTAGGGAGAAGTCCTCCTAAGGTACTTCCACATTTCGGCTTATAGTGGTCCACAAAATGGTC